ATCATGGGGGGGTTGTTGGCCCACGCGCCTTCCAAGGACTACAGGTGCCGCCGCAAGGTCCGAAAACAAGTGCTGGTTGCTAGCCCACATGTCTTAAACAAGCGCTCGCGCGCCTTCCAGACCCTTCCAGCGCAAGCTCTTAAACAAGTGCGGAGTAGCCCACCCCCCTCCAATCACGTCCGAACCTTGCTAGCCCATACGCCTTCCAAACCCTTCCAACGCTGGTTCCTGAACAAGTGCGGTTGCTGGCCGGCAGCGTCGGTGGGCGATCCTTCCAATCCTTCCAGCGCAAGCCTAGCTATCCTAGCTCTTGAACAAGTGCAGGTTGCTAGCCCGCACAGCCTGAAATGTGCGGGCTGCTGGCCTTCCGCCACAAACTTACACAAGTGTTGGCTAGCACGTCTTCCAACCCCTTCAAAAGAAGCACGGGTTGCTAGCCGACACATTCCAAACCTTTTGCAACACAAGCTAGAAACAAGTGCGGGTTGCTAGTCTGCTAGTCCACCTTCCAAACCCTTGCAAAGCAGGCTCTTAAAGAAGCGCAAACTGCGAGGCAACTATTGCTGCCAAGGCCAGTTTTTCTTGCTTCTCAGGTTCGGCGCGCAACCGTTACATCATTCGCACATGCCGCACATGCCGCTTTTCCAACCAACACCCTGCTCCTCACACCTGAGGCTGATTCATGTCGCCCCAAAAACGCCCCCATGATGCGGCCTGAAGGTTTTCGGTTCGGCTTGGTTCGAAAAGTTCGTTTCGACCTGGCACGAGTATTTTTGAATTGGTGCCGGTCCACGGTATCAACAGCCACACGACGTGTGTCAAAGTTGGGGCATAGGTGGATGCTTCGAATTTTTTTGTTGGTTCAGGGTCTTAGTTTGAACTTTTACTTGCCTTTGCGCTCTTGGGGTTGATGGTATTTATTTTCGCCGCAGGACCAGAAGGAGTGCAGATTGACTCTCGTCAGGAACGCCTCTTGCAACCTGCACTTAGGATTTCCCACAGGTTCTCCGCAGCGAAGTGGAGCTGTCGCCACGGAGGTCACCTAGGTCGGATGCAGACGCATCGCCAGAGTGAGCAGATTGCAGGTGACTTGCAGTGTCGTGTAGCGTGTACATAGCTTCCTGTCCAGAGTTCGCCAGATGTTGAATGTTGCAAAGGGTCCAAGCTGTGAGGAGCGGGATTGGCTGCACAGTTGCCTTCAGTTGCAAAGTGGCTCGGTTTCGTCTGCTCATAAGATTCGTCTGACTCAAAAGCCAAGTCTCTTTCCACAGTAATTACTTCCGACCAAGAAACAGGCTCACACCAGCACCTAGGCATGTAGAGCACGCGAAAAGCAATTGTGCTATCATGTGACATCTACGTATTTCAGTTTACGCCTTGTATGCGAATGGTTTTGGATTTGCTGCCTGGCCATTCATGGAGGCATGCCATCCATGTATGCGGGGCACGTGGCCTCCTTCATTGATGGGGGGCATGCGGCCATGCTCATCAGCGGGGCCACTTCCAAGAAGGATATCTAGCAGCGATTGAGAGAGAAGGTAGACTTTGGGAAATAAGACCAAAGCCACGCCCTTTGCTACAAGTTATCTAGATGTGCATTGGTCAGCAATTCATATGATGCCCCGGTACGCGTTTGTGTCTCAAATCGAAATCAGCACAATGTGCATGTTTGTTTCTTGTGTGTGTGTGATGGAGGAACTCTGCATGGTCTCCCGCACTGACAAGTCTGGACGTGGTTTCCCAGCATTGGAGCAATGTGAGGCACAGTTCGGGTTGACCTGAGGGCATGTGTTTGCGTACCAAATTGGACAGTCCGACTGCTTTTGGGGAGACGCGCATGCCAGACGTGATTCTCGCAGCTGTCAGGATGCGGTTCGGCAAAAGGACGGCCGAGAAATTTGGTGGCTGTCACCGAGCGGTCGCATCTCCGACCTTGCTGGTCGCTGCCTGCAAGCTACGCAGTCTGGGGAGCTGTCCTTGCTAAGGTGCCAAGATGCACAGGCCTCTGGTGCAAACAGTGTCCTACCAGTATCAGGCCCCAGCATTGACTTATGATCTTTCCTTTTTGGGCTGGGTGCAGGCTTGGCAGCTGACAGGCAACAACCGCATTCAGCTTGGGGACGACAGAGCAGGATGGGCAGTTTTCCGTGCTGGGCTCCCAAAACAAAAGCCTCCCAAGGGCTCCCCAAGAGTCCAAGAGCAAGGGACGAGCCCATCTGAGAGCCGAGACCTGCAGGACTGGCAACGAGCTGCCTGACCGTGCCTCCCACGGCGTCAGTGACCCTTGACGTGGCCAAAGGGCAGGCCGCAAAGTCGACCTCCTCGAGTGATTTGGCCCACTCTGCTGAGCACGCCGTTGATGGAAATCCTGCGACCTACTGGGCAAGCGACCTTATGGGTGAGGATGCAGATGCAGCTGTCTCATGGCAGGTTTCGTTTCCACGATCACGTTTGAACTCAGTGGACATTGAGTGGGAGTACGCCCCCCAGCAGTTCGACTTGCAGATCAGCAGGGATGGCGACAGCTGGAAGACAGCCTATTCTGTGTCGAGCAATCCGTTAAATTCCGAACGGTCCCACATACGCCTAGATGGCATCGAGGCGCAAGCAGCCAGGTTGGTATTCGGCAGCAATGCTGCACTGGCTCACCATGTTGGCATCCGCCACTTCAGGGTGACTTCGATAAGTGTGCCTGGTGCCTGTTGGTTCAAAGTGAGCTTTCTTAGCCATTTCCATTGTATCTCCGAGCATCTCCGAGTCCTGATCATGCAAGGCGCCGGTGCTGGAGCGCTGTACTGGACCCAGCATGGCGCGGGCTAAGTGGTTTTTGGCCACAGTGGCCGAGTTCGACCCTGCCAAGCTGTCGTCCACACAGGGCAGTGGCTGGCGACCGAAGCTCGGTAGCACAGTTTGGATCAGACTGAACGCATGGTACGCAGCACGCTGCTAGGATACGCCCTTTCGTACTCATGTACGGAGGCTCAAGCCTCCGAACATCATGTTCGATCATGGTTAGGCAGTCATGTCCGATTCTGGTTGTTTGCAATGCATGGCGGGCTGGTACAACTCAAAATGCTGAAAGTATAGACCGCTGTATCCGTTGTAGTCTCTGATCGGTAGTTTAGTTGCACTCAAAAAGCATGCAATCCCGGCCTTGTTTTCGCTACCTTCTTGCCTCCAGCCAACTTGCTGTCTGAGTGCTAACGAAGACTTTTGGTTCGACAAGCGCGAGCTTCCTCTCCTCAACTAGACAGCACGTGGGGCACAGTACTTTGACCAAAGCGGTGCAGAGCATCCGCGTCTTCCACCAGGTGCCGGAAGCCCGGCACAAGCGGTGAGGAAGATCCTAAGTAACTACTTAAGCGCTGTACAGCAAGAACCTTTGACTCCGTGTACTTGCTGTCTAACACTGACTACCAGGGCCGTCCTCATGTAGAACGTCGGAATTAGGCCGCTGATAGGAACAGGGCCCATCGGCTGAACATGGAAATTGCCATGGTCGTTGTGCGGAGCTTGTTGAGTAACGAGTTCCAGGTTTTAGAGAGAGAGAGAGACAGGAACCTGATGAAGATGGACAAAAGCTGGGTTTTACCAGCTGGCATGCCTACTGCAACTCGGCCGCGTTGGAGTTTGATAAATTAACCTGGTTCTACGCGAGGCCGAATCCAGAGGTGCCAATTGTTCGCAGTGGCTATGGCTGAGGTCCGGGCTTCGTTTGCCAACATCTCTGAGCACCACTCGGCGCTGGCCAGTGAACATTTGCATCTTGACAAGGCTTAAAGCCTGCTAAGGCTTAGACATGCTTAGCCAAGCGAACTGTAGTACTTCTTAGGCCCCTACAGGCAGTAGAATGCCCATCACGAGCATCATGCGTGCTGGGCGGTCTCGGGATGGGGATGGCTCAGGAAACCGCTGGTACAATGGCGCCAGCAACATCGGCGAACGTTGGAGGGTTTCCTGTGCGCCGCGGCGTTTGTCCAAGACCGACATGTCTACACCAACTGCACCTTGCTTTCAGTTGGAGGGAATGGAGAAACAACTGGGCAAGCATTCTTGGCCCTTTTTGTTTGAGGCACGGACGCGATGACACCCAACGGAGTCTCTTGACTGCAGAGAACAGCAGCTCCCAAGATCTTGGGAGAAGCGCTACCCTTCCGGATACTCCTGATTTGAACAAACGTGTTTGCCACTGTATTTGTGCACAGCACGTGGTGTGGAACATTGGGGCCTCTCCTCCCCCCCTGCCCCCCCCCCCCCCCCCCCCCCTCCCCTTCCCCTGCCCTCCCTCCCCCACTCCCCCCCTCCCCTCCCTCCCCCCCCCCTTCCTTCCTAATTTGATTCAGCAACGGGCCCCCTTCCGATTTTCTGTACCAGGTCGCACTATGGCACTATTGCGTTGTATAGCATGTGTGACACTGCTCTTTCGCACCAGTCTTCCTTGCCTGCTCAAACATCAGGTAAAACCCACAAAGTCGCCAAGGATTCCGGCCGGGAATGGTGCTATCTGGATCCGGAGCTGGTGCCAGGTCTGGATCCGAGCACCCAACGCTGGGGCTACTGTGCGCCTGTGACCGATTATGATGTAGCTTGGCAGGCATCTGAACTGTCTGAACTCAAGGTTCTCTCGGCAGCATGTTGCAAGTTGTGGCCTAACGCACGCCGGGATGGCAACTAAGGCAGCGCGCGCAGCTGCGTGAACCTGTGCGGGGCGATGGGCTCCAGACGAAGAGCTGTGTTCCCACGCATGATTGGAGACGCATCACGGCAATTTTTAATGGCCGTGTCGCGGCATTCAGAATCTTTTCCCACACTTCTGAACGAAGGGGTGGTTAGTTAGCTGAGGCAACTAGGTCACCCGAAACACCTCCCAAAACTGAAGCGCGTCATGTCAGCCTCGATTCGCGAAAACGGACCGCATTGGACAGAGCAAGGTTGGAGTTCCTTCTCCGTCACTGCCGTATCTAGAGTCTCTGGAGACTGTTGAAGCCGGAGTTGCCAAGGCTGGCCGCCTTTTGCGCGTGGTGGGTGCGGCCGTACAAAGGCACGAGATGGTTTTTGGGTTCGTTATCTAGACAGAATTCGGTGCAGTTCACATTGATACCCATGGTTTACTTCAGGCTACTGCCCGAACCGTTACTAAATCAGCAGTGCTGGAGAGTAGTTGAAAGATCCTTAAGGGATCCCTGGTCGCTTCTAAGCTTCTTGTCCACTTTTTTGTCAGTTCGCTCTATCTCGTTTTGCCCCTCTTGTGCCACTCTGTGCATGTGACGCTTCCATTGAAGCGCCTGGATAAGTGCTGTTGTGACAGGTCGGGACCCTGTGGCCCTGCAGGAGCGGATTTGGCCAGCGCTCGAGGAGGTGCGCTGCGCTTCTGAACTCTTGGTCACTTGTGCTTCCAGAGTTGTCATGACTCCTATGGAGACGTACAGCACAGTAAGCAAGGTGATAATCTCGATGGACGCATGCCCCTGAACTCTTGGATGCTGCTGAGAATACAGTACACCAGAAGAAGCAGGACCAGCAAGAGTCTTATGCGTAGCGGCCATCTGCTTTGCAGTAGCAGTAGCAGTAGCAGTTGCCAATGGACTGGATGCCTTCTGCTTCATCGAGCCTTGCATACACTCTTGAGCTCGAGACCTTGCGGCTGCGTGGTTCACCTCCAGGAGCGCAGCCAAGCATGCTCAGCCATGCTTAGCCAACATCTAGTTTAAAAACCCTCTGAAGCATCATTTTGCATCGGTTTTAGTCAGATTTTCTGGCCATGGCCTGCCGACGCCGTGGTTCCGCTTTGCAGCAGCCCGACGCGAAGTTGGCAACCCAGGCTGCGGCCACGCAACATGGCCGACATTTTAATTGCCTTGTCGCAGCCCGTGTGATGCTGAGTCCTGGACAGTTGGGTAGTTGCACGGTTCTGGAGAACTAGACGCAATATCTCATCACCCAGCCATTTCGCTCCTGCAGCAAAAACAGTACAGGTAATGCTCCTGCAGCATGCGACGACGCACGCTGCCCACCTTGAAGCTGGGTCGCTTTTGACTTTGTGTTGCTGTGCCGTGGAGAAACGCTGATGCGTGCCTGGGGTAGGGAACGCCAGAAACCGTGCAGGCACTTTGCCAGCCGAACTTCCGCCCCAAATCCTGAAACCCCTGATAACCCCTGCAAGCGCAGCAAAGGAAGGGGAGGGGCATCGAGGCAGCGGCCGACCCCCGGGATGTACTCCCACCAGGCCTTCAAAGCTTGAGTTTTGGGCTCCAGGGTCCAGGCTTGGGCTTAGGATGTAGCTGTCGAAACAGCTTTTTTTGCGCCTTTCCAGGCTGGATACGGGTGGAGTCCAGGTCCAAGCCTGGAACTTTCTACTACGCGCACCCTGCCACAAAGAAGACTCAGCTTGAGAGGCCTGTGGATCCTCGCTATGCCCAGCGTGAGAAGCCCAAGGCAGTGTTGGAGCCTAAGCCAGCCCCGCCAGCACCGGTACAGTCGGTAGACGCTGTGACCGTAGACGACGACTCGGAGACTGTGGAGGAGAAGCAGCGGAAGGAAGAGGAGAGGAAGGCCGAACAGAAGGCCCGCGAGGAGGCGGAGGAGAAGGAGCGGGAGGAGGTGCTCCTGCGAGCCCGGCAGCGGCGTGCACAGCAGATGTTGGAGGAGGAGAAGCGCCGAAAGGAAGAGGAGGAGCAGGAGGAGGAGGAGAGGCAGAGGGCTGCCGAGCGTAGGCGTGAGAAGAAAGAAGCCGAGCGACTCAAAAAGGAGGAAAAGGAGAAGTTGGATGCACATGCACCCAAGCCCGTGGCACTGGGACGGCGTGATGCTGCAAAAGCAGAGACCAAGCGACGAAAAAAGGCGGAGGATTCGGATCCATCGGACGCAGAAGAGGTGACCCTGGAGGAGCTCGAGAGGTGGAAAGCAAGCGAGGAGCAGCATGAGCGCGAGGAGGCAGAAGCAAAGCGGCGGAAGATCGAGGAGGAGGAGCGGAGGAAAGCTGAGGCCGAACTTGCTGAGAAGCGAAAGAAAGCCGAGTTCGAGGAGGCCGTCGCCCGGGCACGGAGGATGAAATCGGAGTCCAATTTTCAGAAGCAGGAAGAGCTCAGGCGCCCAATCACGCCAGACGAGCCATCGAAAGTGGCAGAGCCTTCAAAAGCAGAGCCAGCAGCACCAGCAGCACCAATTGCAGAGGCAGCGGAGCCTCCAACAGCGGCCGTGCCGCCACCCCAAACTCTCCAAGCACAGCCTCAACCGCCCGCACACGTCCAGGCATCAACCCACATGCAATTCCCTTTTCAGTTTGTCACCTTGCCGCAGGTTCCCCGCCCCCCTGCTCCCCCACCGCCGCCTCCGCCCACGCCCCCGACGCTTGCAAACCTCCTCAGTGGTGCTGTTGCCAAGCCAGACTTTGGCAAACTGCTGAAGCAGCCGAAGCCTTCTCCCACCGAGGATGCTGAAGCTACGGCCATGGGGCCACAGACGGGCACAGTGCTGTGGTACAACGGCCGCAGGAAGTGTGGTATGATACTGGCCGACCGGGACAGCCGGCGACTGCGTGTTCCGACCCACGCAGCGAACATGGGTGGCATTGCCCCTCCAGTTCCGGCTGGTTTGATGCACGGGACACGGGTGAATTTCATGCTGGACAGCAGTGCACCCAACGATCCCTTATGCGTTCAGGTGCGTCCACTCCCGAGCCAGATCGGGTTGAGCTGCGGTGGTGATAGCCAGGCAGGCCAGAGGCTTGCCAATGAAGACCGCACCATTGCCACAGACCTTCAGGACACGCTGAATTCACCGCGTCCCGCCCTGAAGTTTGGCATTGCGGTTCCAAGCCCTCAATTTTGAGCTCGGATGCCAGGAGAGCTTGGGGCACATGGTCGGCATCTTTGATGGCCACCGCGGGACCGCCTGCGCCGACTACCTCTCCCAGGAGCTCCTGCTACGCACTCCAAAATATCTATCGAAATAAAATCTCCCAAACACAAAGATTGCACAACACTGACTGCTAGTCCTTCCAAGAGAGCGATCTGCGTCCTGCGATCCAGTGGCCAAGCGCGGTCAAGCCTGCTACAGCAATGACAGGTGCAGATTATTGGCTTCAACAGCTACCTTACTAGCACACGAACTCCATTCCTACAGGTGCTGCAAGGTGTTTGAGAACGGCTATGTTGATTTGAAGGTCTGCTGAACTCCGTTACTGAAAATGGCTCGAGTGCTTCCTGCCCTGTCTTGGCGCATCTATTGCGGCTACGTGCGTCTTGTACTTGCAACATGCATCCCCCTGTCCGGAGCACCGTAATCTATGCTGGGCCTATGTCCAGGTTCGAAATGTTGGAGTGCTTGTTTCCTTGGTCAAATTGAGACTCTGCAAAACATCTCCCAAAACCAGATTGAGCTGCTAGCGGGGTGGGCAGGCTGGAAACGAGGGACCCCCTTCTTGTTTGATCTCCTTGCTTGAACAAAACGAGAAGTCATCGTAGTCGTGTTCGAGTAGTAGTGGTAGTGGTGGTAGTAGTAGTAGTCGTCGTCGTAGTAGTAGTAGTACTATTGTTGGCAGCAGCAGCAGCAGCAGCAGTAGCAGTAGCAGTAGCAGTAGCAGTAGCAGTAGTAGTAGCAGTAGCAGTAGCAGTAGCAGTAGCAGTAGCAGTAGTAGTAGTAGTAGTAGTAGTAGTAGTAGTAGTAGTAGTAGTAGTAGTAGTAGTAGTAGTAGTAGTAGTAGTAGTAGTAGTTGTTGTTGTTGTAGTTGTAGTTGTAGTTGTAGGTGTAGGTGTAGGTGTAGGTGTAGGTGTCGGTCGTCCTCGACAATCATAGCAGTAGGTGAGTAAGTAGCACGTAGCAAGTAGCAAGTAGCAAGTTACAAGTAGCAAGTAGTAAGTAGAAAGTAGTCAGTAGTAAGTTGTCAGTAGGAAGTAGTAAGTAGGAAGTAGTAAGTAGTAAGTAGTAAGTAGCAAGTAGCAAGTAGCAAGTAGTAAGTAGTAAGTAGTCAGTAGTAAGTAGTAAGAAGAAAGTAGTAAGCAGTAAGCAGTAAGCAGTACGCAGTAAGCAGTAAGTAGTAAGTAGTAAGTAGTAAGTAGTAGCAAGCAGCAAGGAGCAAGTAGTTAGTAGTTAGTAGTGAGAAGTTAGTAGTTAGGGGCTAGTTGGTAGTTGGTAGCAGTTAGTAGTTAGTAGTTAGTCGTTAGTGGGTAGTGGTTAGTGGCTAGTGGTTAACAAGTGGTTAACTAATGGTTAGGGGTTAGTGGTAGTCGTTAGTGGTTAGTAGTTAGTAGCTACTGCTACTGCGACTGCTACTGCTACGGCTACTACTGCTGCTACTGTGGGGCCGAGTACCCGCCCCCCCTCCCCCCCCTTCTCATTTGCTCCAAGCATACCCTTCCTTCTCTTCGTCCACTCATCCTTGGAGGGGGAAGGGGGGCCGGCCTGAACGAGTTTGCTCCCAAACAATTCTGTCGACGTAAGTCGGATGCTTGTCCAAAGGAGCTTCCGAAAACTATCGTCCAACATGTGAGGGAGGCGGTCAACCAGGAGGCTAGTCGCCGCGGAGCTGTCCCTGGTGCACCGTGGGAGTCCCTCACGGAGGCAGGATTCGGTGTCTTGTTCAGCCTTACGGTGAATATGGGCCGGCATCGGATTTCTCGGTAAGACAGACACCACTCTGACTACGCTGCTTGTTATATTTCTGTTCTGAAGATGTGGCATTAAGGGAGTGCTTGAAAAAATTTGCTTCCGGCTTGCATTCCACGAAGCGTATGTTGATACAATGTACATTGAGATCCCGTGAGCACTTCAGCTTTGACACGTTTTGCAGCTAGCACTGTGGCACAGCAGAGGCGGAAGAAGTGGATGTTATTCGCATGGGCATCGTTGCAGGCAGGCTGCTCTTGAGCCCAGGGAGGTTTTGGGAAACATGAATTACGCCGCAGCGATTTCCTGCAGCTTTCTGCACTAAGGCAAACTCTTCCTAAGAAATCCTCTTCTTTTTGCAGCAGATGAATGTGCATAGTCATATTGTCAGTTCACATTGGTATTCTTCGTATCTATTCTCAAGAATAACAAAAACACATGTATAATGTTATTGAGATTAATTAGCATATTCTTATTCTGATTATGAGAAATCGTCTTGCTGAAGGCCTGGAGGCGACAGACCGCAATTTCCTCAACCTGGCTCAGCAGTACGGCTTCAAGGTGACGTCATAGTGTTCCCGTTTGCTGAACCATCATCTCAAAGCTCTTCACGGCCCATGGCCTCCCAAAACGAAGGGGTGACGCGACATGTTCAACCCTCTCAACTTTCCGCGGTTCGGAGGATGGAGCAGCCGCGCTCATTGCGATCGTCATGCGACTCGGATCTACTCGGCATCGGGAACCCGGAGCAT